AAATCTTCATAATGTCCATATAGTTATCAAACATTTCTTAAGAAAAAACTTAATATTTTATCTGTTATATTTATTAATAAATCTCTGTACAGGTTCAGTAGATTTGACCAATCTCGTAACCACCATAAAAAATTATAATATAAATATAAATTATGTCTCTTTCATTCTAGAATGAACACAAATTACAACACGAAAACAATGTTTAGAATAAATAGTTTAAATCTCATAACATTATACATTTATATATATTTATCATTTTTATTATATTGACCTTTCAGCCATCACTGCCTAACAGTACAGAACTTACAATGATGTGGCACACGTGCACTCATGTTACCATATCAAATAACATAAAACTGACCTTTGGTCTGTACAAAGTAAATGGTCTTAGCTGTGTTTTAGTAGACTACTATTTTGTGAAATACAGTCACATTTCAATCATTATACATTATATATGTATATAGATTATTGCTATTTTGAAATAGGTTCTTAAACTTATTTTTCTTAAAACATAGAACAGTAACTAAAGAAGTAAAGTAAACAATTATCTCTTCTAGTTATGACCTTTGTAATTGGTTACTGCTTCATGTAGGTTGCTAAACCTTTAAAAATTTTGCACATGGAGGATATGAAACAAAATATTTTTAGGTTTTATATATAAACATTTGAATAACTAAAAAATCACAAATTACTACATCACTACCATAGAATTCCACTATAACTTATGAAATTTAGTAACTAAGATGTATTTTAGTATAAAAAATATGAAATTTCAAGCAGACTAAATATTGGATCAAAAGAAAGCAATGGCTGTCGAAGCCTGTTGAAATGGCTGAGAAAGCCACTAGTGGATCATTCTAAGCTTCCAATTGGTTATTCATGTCATATATAGAAGTAAGTGTATATAAGGGAATGTTTCCAAAAACGAAAAGAGGTGGGCAGGATGCCACTGTGTTTCATTTATTATACGAGCAATGTCAAATAGAAAAGGTCTTCTTATTTTATATTGTAGCTTGTCAATTTCAGTAATTTGAGTTTCTAATAAGTATGAAACTATAGACTTAGTATTTTGGCTTCACAAACACCTAATTTGAACAAGTGCTGCATTCAACATACCTCATGACACACAAAAATTGATGTTTATCAGTGTTATTTAATATTTACTTTTAAATTAAGAAATTGAGTAATGTATAGTACTAAATTTTTAATTATAGTCTACAATTTGATACCAAACTTATTGTTATAAATTCATGAAATAGTACTTCAATAAAATTTTGAATGAGAGTCAACAAACGAGATGACATGGCCTTTCACCTACGACCTGTTTTGAAAAGGTTAATAGAACTAATTCAATTACTTAAGCATCTAGAAATAGTATTCTGAAGTTGAAATAAAAATTACTTTATAAAAAAGACAAATATCAACTTGGCTCAGATTAACCAATATTTAATGGCTTTGTCTTACTTTAAGAACAATGTTTAAACTACTAGAAAAAAAACAATCATATGCTAATTTGAGAGAAAAAAATATTAGGTCATCAAGAAATTATTGTTGCATTTGGGAACACCCTCCACTCCCCAAAAAACGTACATCTTGTATAATAGTTAAATGAACCACCTAAATGTCATGTTAGTGTAGCAAATATAAAGTGTAAATTTTAGTATACTCTAATCCCTTATACTGATGCCACACGACAAGACACACATTCGGCATCTAATGCTAGTTTGAATACAAGAAGGGAAACAATGCCACATAGAATATCAAAGAAGTTTATGGAAATGTTTTGAATGTTCATAAGTGTTAACGATGGTTCAACAAATTTCATTCGGGTGACTTTAG